TGAGATTTGGTTGACGGAACATCAGAGGATGCTGCTCGGAGCTCAGGCTCAGCAGATAATTACAGATTTCCTGTCTGAAACACTTAACCTTTTTTTGTTATTTTGGGCCGAGAGAAGGGTAAAATAATCTTTTTTTTATAGCTTTTCTAATTAATCACACCTACAACATCAGCATCAACATCTAGCACGTTTCCTGCCTCTAGTGAACATCAATCGCTGATTAAGTATCACGGTATTAAATATCAAGCAGCAACATCATTGACATTAGAGCCCATAGTGCCGTTCACAGCATCTTTCAGGTTTGTGAGTTAATCACCTCACAAACACGCGTCTCTCTTCTCCCTGACACTTTTCATACAGGATTAACAGGCTGGTTGTGTGTGCTTTAATTAATGCAGATTTCTCTGGGTCATACTGTAGCAGTCAGAGATAATTGTGTTGTGGTTATCGCAGGCTTCAGGTGCTCGTCCTTCATCATTGTTTGAAACAACTAGCTAATCTGTTTCAAATGACGTGGCATTTCCCCCACCCAAACGTCAATAGTCATACATAGTCGAGACTTTGAAGACACCATATTTCTGTAAGTCAGATGATGTTTTCTTCACAACTTCTTAGCATGGCTCGCGTGATTTAGTTTCAGAAGTCTTTTGTTCCTGCATGTTAGCTGTAATCTACAATTGCTTTTGTTCATTTTCCACAATGTGTAAAACCAATTTGTCAACAAACAAAATAATTAGAATTTCTCCTTAAACCAAATAAGTAACTACTGGAGAGTGTCGCTGACTGGCATACTGCAATGGACAAAGATGCAGAATGTGATTTTTGAAATGAAACGTTTGTAGTTTGGTAAGGTTCGGACACAAAAACTATTCGGCCAGATTTGGGAAATGTCTGTGGTTGTACATAATAAGTTATTTAACTAAAGTTTTTGTTTAAAACTGACTCATGCCCTGCGTTTGACTCTCTATACTTTTTTTTCCCCCATTCAATTTGAACTGCAGCTGCACTGCAGTCCATGCAATATGCAACAAGTCTGGACAAACAACTTTCTCATACAATTGTACCTTGACTGTTGACCCTCATGCTTCACTCTTGTTGTCGGCCAAAGCACAAACATTGTTGTAGCTGACAGTATTTAAGATGACTGGAAAATAAAGGAAACAACAAAGGTAACTTGAATATACAATACAGTGTAATGGATTACTGTACCATTTAGGCAGCATCACATGTATTGACATCAATGGAATACATATCAGAAAGACGAATAATCCGACCTTCTTATGATTATTTATGTAAAATATTTTTCATCATTTGTAGCAGGGGTGTCTTCTTTTGAATGAATGGAATGAATGAAAGTATTTTGACTGTGATCCACCAAAACTGGGAACAGTCATTGTGAACTTACATAGACTGTTCCCAGCCTATAACAGCCAATGAGAGCATGAGTTTAAAGAAGCCCCTGTTGTGATGTTTCTACCTGCCTTTTGCCCGCGACTGTGCCAATGACTGATGCGTTATTAATGCACACACTAAGGAAACAGATGAAAAAAAAATACAAGTTATTATCTGAATGCATTAAAAGTATTAATAAATTGATATTTATGCCAAGATATGAGGCTATATGAGTCATGATTTATTTAGAGAAAATACACCATGTAAAATTAGACATTGAGCACCCCTGTAGCTGAAATGGAATAATCCTTGTTTCATAATCAGTTGTTCCACTGTGAGATTCGAAGTCAAATGAGGCTCTTTGAAATTAATTGTCGAATGTTCAACAATCCCCTCTTTTTCATGTGTGATGGTCAATGGTCGATCATCAGGAAGGATAAAAACCCTTTTTCACATAAGGTCTTAAATTATTTGTATTAAAGACTTGCTTTTAAAAAGAGTTATTGTATTTAAATCAACATTAGTAATAGAAATATTTCATAAAACCACATAAAAACATTGACTAAGCAAGTGTAAATGATTCTCTACTTTATAATGAAACTTTTAATAAATATTAGAACTGTCACTGGTGATCCCACATACAATTCTCAAGCAACATTATCTTAAAGATGTACTCAGGGTTTTTAACTGCATTGGAATGCAGTAGCCCAGTTTATCCCCTATATATTACCTTTTGGTTTTGTGTTTTTACAGCTGCTAGAGCTTGAAAGCTAGCTCAGTGCAACAATTCAAAACATTCCGAAAAACCCTCAGTTTCTCCACTTCCACAACCAGGCAGCAGCAAGGGTTAGAAGTTTTCAGGAATTAAGTAATTTATTATTCGTGAGGATAACCTTTTTTCCTCTGTTAGAAAGATTTTGGGCTATTTTAAAACCATTCCCTGCTATAGCGTCAGAGGTCTGAGGATAACTTTGTGATTGTTTGGTGCCTTTCTGTATATTTAATTCCACTCCTTGACAGGTCTTATCTAATGCAGCAGGCAAACACAGTTCTTGAAGTTGATGTGTTGTAAGCGGAAAAAAGGTGAAGTTATAAGGACCTTTACTGTATGACTTTGACAACTGCCAAATTATGACTGGGTCAGAGCATCTTCCAGACAGCAAATCTTGTTTAATGTCCCCGCTATTGAAAGAATATAAGTCGACAAAGGCAGTGGGATGCTTTGGGCAATACTTTGTACACCAATTGCTGGCAACAGTAAAGTCAGATAGCAGTGGCCTCTTTAAGCAGGACAGCATATCCTGCCACGCAGCAAAAATGATCCAGGAATAGTTTAAGGAACATGTCAAAGGGCTCTAAGTGATAACTTAGCCTTAACTTCCCCTGAACTCATGCTGAAAGGGTATCGCTGGAATGTCTGGAAAAGTCTGATTCATGGAGTCCCAGTCTCACAATTTACAGGACCCAAAGGATCTGCTTCTAAAGTTTTAGTGCCAGAAACCACAGGACACCTTCAGAACTCTGGTAGAATCCATGCCTCGACAAGTAACAGCTGCTTTGGTGGAGTTGGAGTCACAAGGTTGACCTATACACAGCAGGTTGATTTTATACAAGAAAATCTGATTGTAAGTTTCAGCTGTGTGTGTGTGTACTTGTGTACCTAACCAACAGTGGACTTTGTTGTCGTTAAATGTTCACCAACAGGGGACCACCTCAACAGTGACAAAAGGGGGCATATTTGAGGTCTATATTGGTTGTTTTACAATGACATCTACCAAGTGAATGCATTTGTGTGAGTGTTCAGATCTATTCTGACTAGTAAACCTGCAGGATATAGAGTATGACATTTTAACATTCATCCATAGTGTGAATGGCCTGATACCCCAGGCCGTCTTTTAGATGTTAAGGGGCTCTTAAAATGGCAACTGGGTAAAGAAAGAGGTCCCTCGAAGCATGATTTAATATTATCATGGTATCAAAGTATAAATGCTTTCAAAAAATGAAGACTACATTTTAAAGTAATATTACGGTTAAAGACCGTCAAAATAAATTATCTATTCAGTTTGTTATATGACCAGAAACAGGAGTCCACATTTGAGAAAATTAAATGATGATAAAGCAAAGTGTCATGGTGTTAATAACTGGAAGTTCTTTAGACAAAAAAAGACTGGACTGACTGGAGTTTTAAGTGTAGTAATGAAAGCAATTTTAAGATACATACTATAGTGTGAGACTCTGTTTGTCACCCTAAAGGTGTCTTCAGTTTGTTATAAGGCAAAAGTTGAGAAACAGTTTATTAGAAGTTTTGCAAATTCGAGAAATATACAAATACCATTCTCCATTTCAGATTTCAAGAAGAGGCTTTTTTCATTTGATATCTTAAATTGAGAAACAGAAAGCCTTTCTTGTTCTATATACAGTAAGGGAGAAAATGCGATAAATAAATTAAGGTGTTTGAGGGATTTTTTCCTCTTGTTTAGAACCAGAATAGCAAATAAGTAATAAATAAGAATTATGCAAGTTCTTTAATATTTGTGTAGAACAAAGCAACATAGAAGAGATACGTGTGCAGACAGAGCCTGTTGCGTTTCCCTTTGTTCACTCAGTACTTTTTTCCCCACATCATTTAATTATACCTCAGCCAAGCCAAGTGCTGCATGCCATCAATCTCAATCAATCAATTAGCCAACTAAACAAGCCATGCTCAGACATTCATTCACTCTCAATTTCCCCATTGTGCTAATTACACTTAAACATGTCATTCCAAATTAAAATTGAACATTTAAATGGGATTAGTGGCGTCTAACTGAAACATCACCCGTCTACATTTGTGCTTTCAAGATGCACTGACAGCCGACCAGCTTGTAGCCGTTTAATTTCAGGAGTTTAACCTTGAGAAAAAATAATTAAATATAGAGAAAATCTCATAATCTGTCATGTTTAAAAATGTCAATCGGCCGGTATTTTATATCACTGGTGGGAAGTATTATATTTCAATGATTGCATAAGTGAGGGAGAAAAGTGGCTGGTTTCTGAGGTTAAACTATTCCCATTAAAGTTTGAATAATGTTATTGACCTTTACCTGGGACGGATCACTTAAAGTAATGAAAAATGGTGGCACTGACAGAATTATGATGACAGAATTGCTTTTGGTTATGAACTAGGTCTTGTTCCGCCAAATGCCTATCAATTTGTCAAATCACTAACATCCACGTGTTCAGCTGCAAACCTTAACAGAGGCCCCCGAGCCTGTCGGTGTCAGTCATCTTGTCATTTTAAAATGTTTCTCGCCTCTCTCTGTAGCACAGTGCATGTGTCAGTCACTGATGGGAGCTCAGATTTCTGCTCCTGCTGCTCACCCACATCTGATCAACGTCACTACAGTATTTTTTACCTCAGCTCGAGAATCTTTCTTCTTTGGGAGTTTGACAAGTATCAGCAGCTTAGGATGAAGTGAACAGGTTCAATCCAGCTAATGTATTCAGCATGCTAGGCGGGAAGAGGGAATATGACAACAAATACAAGTTAATAAATTCTGCCGTCTCCAAGCGGGACACGACTACAAAGTGAAACCCACGTTTTTGATCAAGTCACAACAGCACGGCACTTTAAACATTGATATCTTTTTATTAAGACAAGAACTCTTCTCAATTTTTTTTTCCTTTTGTAAAAATGTTGGTGTGAACCAATACAAAATATGCATGGTCATATGAGAAACATCTTTTACTACACAAAATAAAAATGTCACCTGGGCACAGAAAGAAGAAATTAAGATTGAGCAACAAAATACAACCGTTTTGGGAGGTAATAAAATAACCAAACTCCCCTCTGCCTCCCCTCTCCCCTCCTTCAGGCTTTAAACATGAGCTTCATCCAAATATCCAATAAATGTTACAGATCATTCATAAAACTTCATGTCACAGTAAATACACAATCTTTTCATCTATGAAAATGTATGCGTGACTTGACTGAATGCAAACAGATTGATTGACTGTCTGTGGTCACATCCTATAATTACTAAATAACCGATACTGTATAAGCAAAGTGTTACGGTGGAAGAAGAAGAAGTTTTCATGAACATCATTGTGATTTTGTTGACACTGACTGTACATAATTTTTGTTTGCTTAACAAATCTAGTTTTCTTTCTTTGTGAACTAGGTCTATGCAAAATAATATTGAATGTTTACTGTAACAGTGCACCATATTAAGAACACAAAAACATGTACAAATGAGGAAAAAACATGTACACCTTGTGATTTCTGCACGTTTGAATAGCTGTGGTACTACAGTATATACTTGGGGCCGTTTAAAATTTGCATTCTACCTGAGATGCAAAAAACACAACTATTAACACTCATGAACCTGAGAGAGTGAAAACAAACATACTAAATATCAAGTATTTAAAACAAATCATATAAACTGCTTCAGAATGATACTTCACACAATGTTTTTTATGTTCCCCGATTTCAAAGTAGCAATCAATTTGTAACCATTTAAGACAAATATCAAACCTCGAAATAGAAATCGTCATGCACATACTGTAACTGTATCCATGACAACAGAAATCCAGTAAAATGTACTGTGATTAAAGCTTTTATAGCTTTTAGTACTCTTTCCCTCTCTGATTCTATTGGGCCTTGTCCTTGAAGATATCCAAATATGTAACAAAGTGTAGCAGAAGAAAAAAATCTTGATCAAATTGAATTTTTTGCAAATCAGAATCAAGACATTAAATAATACATCCTTGCATACAACATTCGATTAAATGGAAGCTGCCACACCACCCTGATGAACAAAGGAATACTGATCTTTTTGTTCTTATTCAAGCGTTTTTATGCTCCAGGTTATTTTGATGCATGTCTACAGTGCGTAAATACAGACAACTTGTGTGAGTATTGGCCCTGTAAGTTATAAAGGACAGAAATATACAAGATATACTGTAAGATTGTACATGAGGATATTGTACGATACTAACCATATGCCTCAAATCAAAGAAGGCACTAAATTAAGTCCTTCAGTCTTTTCCTTTATAATGGTAAGTATCAAGAGGTGGTTTTAAGGCAGTGGTTATCCTTTTTCATTATACATATACAGATTTTATTTTTCTTATTCAGGCAATACAATGAAATCCCTCACTAATTAACAAACAGGTTTTTTTTCTCTTCTAGCTGTGACAGAGGCATTAAGCATGCATGGTGTGTGCACACATGCTGCGTCTCTGTCTGCAAGCGTAGCATCTTCTGATTTGGATTGGTATGAAAAAAACAAACATTCGTAACAGTAGACGGCTCCTCTGTGAAGGTTTGAGGCTGCAGGATGACAGTAAGAAAATGATCTTTCCCAAACCAAGTCCAAAGCTCCACACAGATCTTTGAAAACTTGTAAGGCCGAGAGCCTTTACAAGTTATCAAAGACAGCCCAAAGGTAAAATGTCTTAACAGACAGCAAGGAAATGTAAGTGATTCATGTTTGCAGTGATTGAATGTTTCTTTTTTCGTGTAAAGTCAAGGCCAAAAAGTATGTGTAGCAAGTATTTCAAAGCAGAGGAAATCAGTGGTGAAAATGTATTTTTCACTAGCTGTGGTTATTCATACAAACATATCTCAGTGATACATCAGTGAAAGCTAACTTTGCCATTGAAAGTTGAACATTCTCACTTCCTTCAGTACATAACAATTAAATAAAAAGAAAAAACCTTAGAAAAAAAAAATAGGATGCCCTTGTTACATTTCCAGTTTAATGGTCATTTACTATGTTATCAGATTTCTTTAAAAATCAATCACTAAGAGAGGAGCACTCTACATTGTGGATTTTGGGTCTTTGCTGAACACTTGTAATTCTTATTGAATGTGTGCACGCTTTAACAATTGTTATATTTGGTCCAGGGTGGACCATGTGAGTGGTATGAAAATGTGCAGGAATTCATGTTTAAAGGTTCGTTTTTAGGCTTTTTATGCATTTTAGAGATCGGACAGTGGATAGAGTCTGAAATCAGGGAGAGAGAGAGAGTGGGGAATGACATGCGGGAAAGGAGCCACAGGTTGGATTCAAACCCGGGCCACCCGCTTGGAGGACTATAGCCTCTGTACATAAGACTCGCACATTAACCACTAGGCTACCGGCGCCCCCAGGAATTCATGTTTAAACAAAAAGCATACACAGCAGGCTGAACCAATACATAACAAATAATACATTTTAACAAGACTTATGACAGATACTTCAGGGTATATGTAATCAAAATAAGGTCTTACCCTACAGAAAACAGACAGAAGGTCTTTTGGCTCTTAAATTATTACAAAATGTTTTCTGCCATGTTTTTGTTCCATCTATCGTAAGGATGATAGAAAAAATACCTCTGACAAATGTGACTAAAATCATTCCAGATACAATGTTTGACATTTTCATAAATCTTCTCATATGCTTCTTATTAAGAGTTGAGTGAAATGGTGATCCCACTCTCATGTTTATATACAAACCATGATGCTTCAGCCAGAGACAGGGTGCTTGGCTTAGCACATAGACTGTGCAAAAGTTAGAATCAGATACCTGGCTCCGTTTTAATCAGTTAATATGTTTTATCTTACTTTTTAGGGGAAAAAATGTTCTTGAGGGATGTATTGGTATTTGTGTTTTCCTTTAACTTGGCTGACTGTTTCGCACCATTTTAAAGTCCTTATGCTAAGCTAGGCTAACTGGCTGCAGCTCAATTTGATCGTTCAAACATGAGAGTGGTATCTTCTAGTTCAAACTCTTGCCATAAAACAAATAACTTTTTCTTTGAATCACAAACTAATTCTTTCATACTTTTACAAAGGAAGGACAATAGCTGACACTAAAGGTTTTCTGCTACTGTTGATTTTAATGTTGTTCTTTCTATCAATAGAATAAAAAGTTTAGATTTTCTCTGTAGAAACTGTAACTCTATATCATGGCACATTACTGCTGTCAGGATATCTCAGACTGGACATCACAATACCCTAATAAAAATACTACACTGACCTCACATCTACTAATTGTTAGAGGTTTACATGAAACCAATGAGAGATTGTGGTTTAGTGTGAGAATTAACATCACTCTTACTTCACTTTCAGGGCCAAACCTGTTCTACGATGACCAAATTAAAGTCATGATTGTAAGATAGGAAATCAACGCAGTGAACCTGACCTCTAAAGGGATGGATGAGGTCAGCGCTGCGAAATGTTGAAACCCATCAGACCTGCATGTACGAGGTAAAATGTGGTGAATTTGCAGGGACTGGTAGACATTGACCCAGCAGGAAAAACTTTGTTTCAACTGTGTTTGAGATTTATACAATAGCAATAAGAAAAATAATAGTGATGTGGATGACGTGGCTCCTCTGATCTGGTTTCATGGGCTAAATGCTAGCTGCGGCACAAAAAGACAAACACCAGGCCCATTTAGTCTCCTCAAAAAACTAAAAGCAAAAGAGGATCAAGTGGAATATATTGAACATAACCCAATCCAACAAGCATGTGAAGGGGAAGAAATAAACAACAGAAGAAACAAAAGAAATTGAACAAGGCACAAAATAGTCCGTAAAATAATCAAACTGTACAGAATAGGCCCCAGCAGTCCAGGAAGGGTCGGATGGGAGACTCAGCGCATCCTCTTCTTACCACTTCGCCATGGCAGTCCTACTTTTCACTTTCCTCTCTTCCTCTTTGAATCTAGCCCTCCTCGCCTCCATCAGAGTTAAACATTAGGCTTCTACAGCGCCACCTCCTCCACCACCACCTTCAGCATCCCCACCCGTCTCTCCCGGCCTGTCCAGTTTAGATATAGTACTCCTTCTTCTCGTCTGTGTTGTTATGTCCCCCCTCCGCGTTGATGATTGCCGTGTCTGCATCGGCTGCGTCGTCCGCCCCTTTGGCTTCATGTGTGAAGTAAGTTCCTGCAAAATAAGCCAGACAAATTAGCCACATCCACCCCCTCATCCACCCATGCTGCACTTCAAACCCTCTTGCACTCAACTTGCAACAAAAAACACTTGAACTGTTAAGATTTGTTCATGATCAAGTATGATTGCCCTGCTGGTGCGTTACCTTTGTGTCTGGCGAAGTATCGACCGAGAACAATGAGTGCACAGAGGATGGCAAACATCACCACGGCAACCACTCCTCCGATGACAGCATGGTCAATTTTCTGAGGTGCCCCCTCGCCGGCTCGGGAGTCTAGAAACAAGACAATAACCATAAATAATTTCATGATCAGTAAACCCTCTCAGCCAGTCACACAACTAATACCTTCAGACAGACGGGGACCACACTGCTATCTTTGGCCATTAAATCATTAGGCTGCCAAAATAAACTAAATTGGTTTGTTTTCTCTCAGAGCATTTTAGCATGACCTAACCACAGAGGAAACACTTGAAAAGGCTTTAGAGAAAAGTGCCAGCTAATGTTGTTTACCAAGAAAATGAGAAGATACCACAGCACAAGTTGGTCCATGGAGGATGGTAAATGGTTTACAGTTTGTGACAAAAAAATAACAACCCACAAATAGGCTATTAAAACGTTTAGTTCTCACTTACTGACAAATCCAGCAACCCTGCCCCTGCCAATAATTGAGCTTTTAAAACACCAAAATAAGGCTTATGATTATCGGAAATGTTTTATATTTTGTCTTCTCACAAATGTCTCTCTGTACTTCATGTAGTGCTGTCATCCTGTTGACAATACCATAATTCAAAATCAATTTTAATTTAAATCCATCCAATTAAAATAAAAGGAGAATTTGTTTCTTCGGAAATAAACACCTATTGGCCTTCTTTCCAAGATTTTGATGATGGTTGTAATACATATGGATATATATCAACACCTCTAAAGATCCCTGTTACACACATTGGCCCTCTTTAACAACCAGCATAAAGCATGGTGAAAACCTGCTTGAGCCCTGAACTACAAAAACCTTTACAACTACAGTCCATCTTTCCCCAACACCAACTCTATCTGAGGCACACTCAGTCTCAGGCTGCCCGTTGTTTGAGTGGAATTGTGCGGCTTAATCTCAACTGGTTAAATAAAGGTTACATTTTAAAATTTCCAAAACATACAGGATTCAAAGATGCAGATTTATAAAATGCCCTAACTGAACAACCCCAGAAAATGATGACAAATGTAAGTGGATGCTGTCCAATGTTCTTTAAGCATCCTGGAGGGAATAATGCTAAACTAGGCTAAAGAAAACAACCTTTTCCTTATTGAGACAATAGGTAAAACGTTTTTAGCCTTGCACCTCACACTGCAGCCATGTTATATACCAGTAAGCTAGCATAACAAGGATTGGACAAGCCTTGAAGTCACTTCTGCACTTTAAGATAAAGTTAATAGAAACAGGCCCATTATATGACATTGGATAGTCAATACAAAAAAAAGACACGCTGGGATTTTACAGGGATTAGTTCATGCTGGACTACTCCTTGGGCAGCCGCACTTACTTGTTTATAGTCTTTGTGCAAGCCAAGCTAACTGGATGGTAAATTTGTCATAGTATGCATCACACTTATATGAGAGTGGTATTTCATATCCAGTAGCTCTTGATACGAAAGTCTAAGTGCATCTTTGACATGATAGTAATATGTTCCTTTGATTTAGAAAAACATAAAAAAACATATTTGGAAATGAAGTCTGATGTCTGTCTAAGTTATAACCCTGCATTTGGGAGGGTATACTGTTCAACCCAGCTCATTATTGGAACATCTTCAGTGCTCCTTAAAGTTGAAATGCTCGCCCAAGACCCTTGAGTGAGCAATGTTGAAAAATGTTTTAAGACAGTTATTTCACCATGAAGCAGTAGACACCGTCTGCAATTTCTGTGCCAGTTCACACACTGTAAAATACATTGTGATTTAAGAGGCCATTTCAGGAAGTTATAGAGCTCAATCACCAGAAATAGGCACAAGTCTGGAGATAAATTGGCGCCCGGTGTCCCCATGCAGAGAAATACGTTGCTGCCTCAGGTGGTGGAGAGCATCACTGTCTAACATTTAGCCAGATTTATCCGTGCACCGCAGAAGAACAAGGCAAAATTTCAAAGCCTTTAAATTTCCAGTCTCAGAATAGTTCAGAGGCGTTTATCAATAGTCTATATCTGTGCACATTTGGACTGATGGAGGAGTGGCAGGCGAGGGAATGGCTCCACTGTTCTTTGCTGCTTGAGAGAGCAGCTCAATTTTCCATCAATCTCACTAGTCATGCTCTGAACTTGAATGATTTTGATAAAAGACGAGCGAAGGGTGCGGAATTTCTCAGCACTGTGAGGGCGTAATAAGTCGAGGTTGAGGGGTCCAAGACATGTGACACACTCCCATTTCAACCTAAACACGACCTTATTTAGGTCGCCTTCAGTCAGCGGGAGGACGTCTTGGAAGAGCAGCTGGAATTAAGCTAATTAATGAGAAAAGTTGCGCTTCAGTTGAGCGCTCTTTTAAAACGGACCTGTCTTTGTGGAGGAAGGCGTAGCATTGTGTTGATGAGTGTGAATAAGCAAGGCAGCGTTTGTTTAGGGTTGCAGGGATGTCAGATCGCACATCTCACTCCCCCAAGGAGAAGGAACAGCTCATGCTACATGCTAATGAACATTCACCCACTAAATGGCCTGTGCAGAGACCTGTCTCCCCCCCGCCCTCCTCTCCTTTAACCTCCCACACCTTCCTGCCCTCACCTTGCTCCCTGCTGTCTTGCGTTTGACACATCCACGAGGAAACATGCCGGGTCTCGGCCGCCTCTGCACAGCGAGGGAGAGTTTTATGTAACAGGTAGAGAAATTCGCCCAGAGTAAGCCTCGAGAATCACAAAAATGTCGAAGAGAAACTAAGAATCCCATAATACCTACAGTATCACCTGTTCTGCTTGGATGCATATCATGTTGCCTGCATTAAATACACTGTTGAACATTGTTTTTTTTGTTTGTCAGTTGTGAATTGATTAAAGGGGAAAGCCACAAAAACACGATCTCCAATTCAATATAAGCTGAATAAATGTTACTGTTCTGCCCATTTTCTTTTTTTTTTTTGCTGCAGCCACAGCCTGTTTTATATTGTAAGGAGATTACAAGACATGTTACATAATGCAATGCAATATAGAGGCGTAAAGCAAATTGTAAGAAGATTGAGAACATAAAGGTCACCGCTCATGAGATGTACTATTCAGCCAATGAAAACATGTGTAAAATGAATTCCGTGGCTCTGAAGCAAGCTTTTCTCAAGTCGGAAAAAAATAACCCCTGACGAAGACATTAATGTTATCACTGCAGAAAAACCTGTGTATCAGCTGGATGTATAGAGGTTTGGTGCCTTCACCAGGCAGTAGGGGTCTCACAAAGAAATGTATAGTGTTTCTTGAGCCTGACGTTAGGGACTAACACTACCATGACGCGCTGCTTGGATGATCTTATTGCCCGCACTGGGAACCTCAACTTCCGCCTTCACTGTGTTCATGAGCTTAAGGTCACAATGTGGACACAGAGAGGAAAGAGATTTCCTGTAGGTTATTGCTGTGAGTGTTTAAACAACACCTTGAAAGCTGTTCTTAAGTACTTTTCACTTTATTAGTGTGTTGATGTACCAGACTTGTGGCTGCATCAGTTCATTCCCAATAACCACTCAAATGTATTTTTTGTAAGACTTGTTATGAGGATAAATGTGAATTAATTACTTTTCTAAATATATGTGATCAATCCACAAGGACAGCAACTAAGGGTACCAACCCAATATCATAATAGAAAAAGGATTTGTGCAATAATTTGTTTATTGATGGATAGCCCCTTGAGATGAACCATCTTGTTTACGAGGGGGTTTGACATAAAACATTTAGTAAAATCTGTCTTACTAACAACACAATATTTATTTTCCAGCCGCATGTTTCTGTGTAGAAGGACGTGAACTAGAAGTACCAACATCTCATCAGACTCTGTAATGCCAAGTTTTCCGAGGACATTCTCTTTAGTTTTACCAGTTTATTTTTCAGATAGTAAACACAAACAGGAGGAAGGATAAAATAACCTTTCTGTGCTCTAACCCCTCTCCATTTTTAAAAAGCATCTCCAATATTCATCATAGTTTTACCATGTTTCTGGTCTTTAAAAAAATGCCATGGCTAGGTAGAATCAGTTATATCTGAACGAGTTCACTTTCCCACTTCCATTGCTGCAACTTTGTTGGTTTGCCGTGACAACTGGTCTCATATCTGACGAACCGAGGGGCGTCCAAAACAGCTGTATGAGGGTGCTTTAAAACCGCCTACCTTCACTGGAAAAATAGTGCAGCAAGGAATGACTGGCACACAAAGAACAAAAGGCGTATAGATGGAAGTCTTGATTGAAAGCATTCTTAATGAATCATAGGGTTGAAAAAACAATCTTTGACAAAATACTTTGTCTTTTGCTGCACTCTGATAACTTAATCCTAAAGTTATGAGAATGAATGTAGGATTTGAAAAATTAAGATGACTGCATTATATACTCAAGCATTTTTACGTCAGGGGAAGTTGCCTAAATAATGCACAGCTGTAAGTGCCTTCTTCCTAAATGGATCTGGAGTTAAGTAAGTTGTTGATCTCTAACTGTCCATGATCTTGATTTCTGAAACCTACAAGGTCTTATTTTAGTGTCTTTATTGATATTTATGTCCTCACTCATTATGTGTTTATTAGTCATTCACTTGCCCCACATATCCAGGATCAGGCTTTTTATCTCCCTCCGTTGGTCAATGTTCAATATATATGCATTCATAAAACTACAAGGTATATTGAGTAGAAAAAAAACCTGCTGAATGACAGACAGCGTTATTACAGCAGCCTTTGTGGCCTCACACTTGAAATAAGTAGAATTTGATGATGTCTGTAATGTGGCCGCTGTCCACAGCTCTGCTTGGGGAGTGCTGACATGCCCACACCGCCGCCCTGACAGGATGTGCACAGCCGTGGGGATTTATGGAGGAATAAAGAGGATTTGCAACTGATGCCTGTGCCTGCGCGGCGGTGAAATCTGCTCCGCTGAACTCCCAGCCCTGCATGCTTTACAGTCGTACCTCTGTACTGGAATGACTAATTGGCGCTCTGGTCAGTAACTGTGCATCTGTCAGCGAGGAGATCAGAGCTGCGAGCTTGTCACCATCCTGATTACATGGAGCAGAGTTTCAGTTTGCCCATCTTATTTTTCTTTTAATAGTTTT